GCCCTTAACCATATGAGTGGCCCTTCTCTGGACCCTCTCCAGGTTATCCGCATCCTTCTTGAAGTGCGGTGCCCAGAATTGCATGCAGTACTCCAACTGCGGTCTGACCAGCGCCCGATAGAGGGGAAGTATCACCTCTTTGGATCTATTCGTCATGCATCTGCTGATGCATGATAAAGTGCCATTGGCTTTTCTGATGGGTTTGTCACACTGCCGACTCATGTTCATCTTGGAGTCCACTAGGACTCCAAGATCCCTTTCCACTTCCGTGCCACCCAGCAGGTCATTTCCTAGGCAGTAGGTGTGCTGGACATTTTTCCTCCCTAGGTGCAGCACTTTGCATTTCTCCTTGTTGAACTGCATTCTGTTGTTTTCTGCCCACTTGTCCAACCTGTCCAGGTCTGCTTGCAGCTGTTCCCTGCCCTCCGGTGTGTCCACTTCTCCCCATAGCTTTGTGCCATTTGCAAACTTGGACAGAGTACATTTCACTCCCTCGTCCAAGTCGCTGATGAAGTCATTAAAGAGCATCGATCCCAGGACCGAGCCCTGTGGGACCCCACTGCCCACACCCTTCCAGGTCGAAACTGACCCATCCACCACGACTCTCTAGGTGTGACCCTCTAGCCAATTCGCCACCCACCGGACTGTGTAGTCATCCAAGTCACAGCCTCTTAACTTGTTCACCAGTATGGGGTGGGATACCGTATCGAAGGCCTTCCTGAAGTCTAAACTTCCAATTAAACTAGTATAAATATGGAGTAGCTCCAATGACTTCAGTGGAATTACTCCACATCTCACTTTACTGGAGATTAGAATTTGCTCTGTAGTATGTTATTTTGATCACATTTATCTTTGGTTAACAGAAATGCCAGGATCTGTACAGCTGATCCTATAAAATGTTACTAAATGAAGACTCCTACATGAGATGCCCAAGTTATTAAAGAAAATCCTGGAAAAATTCTCATAGCCTGCAAAAGAGTGAGGCTGTCACCCATTAGCCTGTTTCCTACTGTGCACGTTTAGAACCAGGTTCACAGTTCTAGTGTTCTACCATCACTCCAGTGATACACAATAGACCTAAACTTAGTTTAACTGGCTTATTAATCAGGATTAACTGCTGCTTTGCATTACTGGAACAATGTAAAGTAGTCAGTGAATACCATTGAATTAGGCCATTACTCTAAACCTAGTTCAGAATTTACTTCCGAATACTTTTCCTTAAGATTAAACTCTTGGCAAGACCCTGAAGTTGCAATTAAACATCCACTGTGGGTAGGACATTGCCTGTCACTTTTGGTTGAGAAATGACTCTGAAGTCTAGTTTGGTGCATAAACCCCTGTTGAAAGCAAAGCATCTGATTTAAAGCATAATGTTGTAGCATGTATAAAGATTCACCATTTTGGGTCTGGCTAGCAGAACATAAAGGTATAGAAACTGTAGTCACAGTGTGGCCAATCCTAAGGCCAAACTCTGTGCTGAGGTGCAAGTCTTCCCCAGTGAACAGGGCCCACAGGCAGAGCTAGACTTAGGGGTAGGTGATGTGGGTGGCTGCCCAGGGTGCTGTGGTCAGGGGGGGCACCACACAGAGCAGCACTGTTCCTGGCCCGGCACAGCTGACCCCTCCCTCTCCGCCTCCAGCCACTGCTCAGAAGAAGCCAGACTAAGCAGTGGCTGTGGGAGCACGTTTTCTGCTCCCAGTAATTGGACCAGGGACATGCCCACAGCACTGGGGACTAACGGGGATAGGGTCACCTGCCAATGCAGTCACGTTCTTCCTGCCTTTTCACCCCCACCCCGTCTGGTGGGAGCCGACCATGCAACTGTGCTGGGGGTGTTGTGATCATTCCCAGCCTCAGAGGTAGCTCCACATGGGTGCTTAGGCAGTAGCAGGCCAGGCTGACAGATGCCAGGTGGATGCAGCACAGTGCCCAGGGGAGGAGGGGGCACCAAAATACAAGTTTGCCCAGGGTGTCATTTTCCCTAGGGCCAGTTCTGCCCACACAAGTCTCTAAATCTAGCAGAGCCAGACTGATTATATCACATGAGAAGGTCCTTGGTGTAGCAAACCCATGCAGATAAACTGTCTACCTCTGTATGTTGGGCAGAATAGCTCAGGGACTGCCACCTCAGCAAGCCTGGAGAAGTAGGCTTTGTATAGATCCTCCAACTAAAAAAAACAAACAAACCACATACTAGGGCAGTAGAGGGGTTGCCTAGGTGTTCTGCACATTGTCCTACAGTGCAAGGAGTCATCCATTCCTCCCAACGTCCTACCTGGTGCTTCTCTGCAGGCAGCCACTTTACTCTGCCAGTTCCCACAGCCCCAGGTCAATGGTATTGTCATTACACAGAAACTTAGGCCTTGAAGGGGCCTCCTAGGCCACTTAGTCCAATCCCCTGTGTTTACAGGCAATCACTGACCCAAGGATTCCCCAAAAGCAGCACAGAAAACTTTCACACACAGCTACAAATCATAGAACCAGAGATGCCAAGAACACCCAGTAACTTCCCATGGGTAAAACAGGGGAGACAAGGTCACTCACTGCCAATGCCCTGTCACTGCAAGGAAAGGGAAGTAATTGACTCGGATATGTGCAGACCGTCCTAGGAAGAGGAACATGACCCATGCTACGGTGGAAGGCAAAACCCTCCACAGTCCCTGCCAATCTGACTTAGGGGGAGTCCTTCCTGACTCCATATCTGGTGATCAGTATGACTGACCCTGGGGGGAAGAATAGGACCCTCTAGCCAGGAACCTCTGAGTTTTCTAAATAATAGAAGGACCATAAGCTCATTCCCATCAAAAACCCCAAGGCTTAGTAGGGCTAATGTTCTAATGCTTCAGAGGAAGGCAAAAAAAAAAAAAAAAAGCAGCCAGTAGTATTACCTTGTTTCAGTCAGTCATCAGTAGAAATGTCTCTTGATGAACCACACTCCTAGAAAGATATGGTTTGGCCTAGACAATGTATTAACCTTAAGACAACGGTAGGTGAAAACATACTAGCCACGTTGTTTGTGAACTAGAAATCTGTCAGCAGCAGTCTGGGTACTATCTTGTCCTTGTCTCATTATGATCCCAAAACAGGTATGTGTCTTCTCTCCGCCTCATACATCATACAAATAACCTTTATATACACTGTCTGTCCTTGAAGTACATGCAAATGCTAGATACAGGCTGAAAATTGTACACATCCAAGTCCCTTTTCCGGTGATAAGTACATTTGCTCAAGGCAGTTCGCTACTAAAAAAAAGATCTACATCAGCCCTTGTATCCCAACATTTTCTTTCATTGGCATAACATGTCTGAAAACAGATTCCAGTAAATCTCATCTAATTTAGATTAGTAAACTATGCCAAAAGAGTAAATGCCTGATTAGCCAACCTGTTTGGCTGGCTTCTGTGTTCATTATTTGTCATTAATCAGCAATATGGTTAGAACTATACAGGGCAGTACCAGAGAGGGATGCTGCATATAGGCAGTACAAAGGGCATCAAACACAGAAAAGGCTGGCAGTTTGTTTGAAAGGGAGGTTCAGATCATCCAGATTCCACAGCATTTAAAGCAGTGGCAGTCAGTCTTGTCTGGCCGCAGGAGGGGTCAATGTTACTCAAAGAGCCACAACACCGCACATGCCCTTAAGGCAGTGGGACAAACCCCATAGTCTGTACATTTATTGCATTATTCACAAATGGAAGGAAATACATTTTCAATGAATGGAGGGAAGAAATAAACTTTGATCACCTTTTCTGCAAGGAGCTGCAGGTAATATATTGAAGAGTTGCTCGTGGGTCTCAAGCCCTGGTCTGATTATCACTGATCAAAGGTTTTCAATGACACATCAAGCTAGATAGGATCCTGGAGTTGAAGCTATTTGAGACACATGCGCTGAAGAAGGCAGTTAAGGAACTCAAAGCATTTTTAATTTTTCAACACATGGTACTGGCTTGAAAGTATTTAAACAATAATTTTCTCATATTTTATTGGCAACTGTGCATCCTAGATAAGCAGAATAAATGAAGTGTGCAAGAAAAAAAAAAAGGCCGTGTTCTGAGTTAGGGACATGAGCTGCAGAGAAAAGCTCATAACATGATTAGACAAGCTCACTCAATAATGGAAATAAATGTGGGGAAGTCAATTATTTCCAGATCTTACCATGGAAGAACAGCAAACTGCTTGCTGGAGACCATTCAGAGGGGTAGTCCTGATGATGAGAAGAAAGTCTAGGGAAGACAAGAAGGAGAGCTTTTAAGTTGCCTTTTTTGTTGTTGTTTCAAGCTGTCACATGAAGCAAAGCCTGCAAAAACTCCCAGAGAATTAGAATAAGTGGATGTTTGCAAACTGCCAGAACATGCCCCAAAAAGAAACAGAGAAAGGAGGGAAATGGAAGAAAAGCATCACTGAATAAAACAATAAAAGGATTGTTGCCATTCATATTCTTCTTTAGCACTCATCACTGACTGCAATGAGTCACACTCTTACAGCATGCATCATCACATTCCTATAGTATGTGCTATAAGGACTTCTCAGGGGTTCCCTTGACGTGTGATGAGCAACTTGGTCTGGTTGCTATATACTCTACAGGTGTATCTAGTAACAACCAGTGTAGAGGCTGATTGTGACAATGTAGTAGTCAATAGTAGTTTTAGCCCTGATTCAACAAGGTGTTGAGCATGTGCTTAAAATAAAGCATGTTCACGAAGTCCACTCCCAATCAGAAAAACACTTAAGCTCAAGCCTAAATCCTATAGACTTCACTGGCATTTATGCATATGTTTAAGTACTTTGCCAAATGAAAGCATCTGCTGCTGATTTAAAAGGAACACTTCTAAAATAGGGTGTTAAAGATGAGTAACTGCCTACTTGCATTATGGTTAGAGATACCAATGGAAACGCTCAGAAAGGCTCTGCCCTGTGCAGCTAAGAGACACTGAGATGGTGGAACTCATAAGGCAAAAGTGAGATAGGATTTCATAGACATTAGGGCTGGAAGGGACCTTGCAAGATCATTGGGTGCAACCCCCTGCCCCAAGGGCAGGAAGTCTGCTAGGGTCAAATGATTGGTACACAGCCCCCGTGTACCAATAAGAATCACTTCCACTTGGGCACTGAGGAAGGATCTGACTTTGGTTTGCTACGGGGAATCAATCTGGAATTTAAACTGGGAAATAGTTGTCAGAGGGTTTGCCTGGGGCTTCAGAGACTAGAATTAAAATAGGCTCCATCATTTAGATCTAGATCCACAACAGTAATTAGCCCCACTGATGCCAGTGATAGTTAGACACCTAAAGAGAATTTAAGTAACTAAATATCTTGGTGGGCCAGGGCACTAGCCTCTCTAAGTCTTAGTTCATCTCCAAAATGGGGATGATAGTGCTTCTTTGTTTTGCAGGGGTGTTGTGAAGGTAAAGGCCTCCATGCCTGTGGACACTCAGGAGAAAATCCAGATTGGTCCCTGAGGTGCTTAAAATTCAGGAGGGTGAATCAAGACTGTTAATACGTTGCATATCAGACAGTCATTGGATAAAAGATAGAGCTAATCCTGAGAGCAGGGACTGAAACCCGCATCTCCATCCCGCAGCAGAATGCTTTAACAACAACTGACAGTCTTGCTCCACTTCGGTATTACCTAGGAAATACTGACTTTGGTACCTAATCATTTTTTTTTCTGATGGGTACTGACATTTGGAAGCCATCCTCAAGTCTATCAGGAGAAGAATTTTTTTAACCATGCACTTTTATGACCGTTTCTTTAAAATTATATTCAGCATTGTGGCAGGAGTCTCGAGCTGGTGCACTTACACAGATATAAATATTCTTTTTCTTAGCATACAATTAACATGCACCCTTTGAAGAAGCACCGTATTGTTTTACTTCTTTGAGGTAACTTTAGTTTGATTGCTTTTGAAGCAGCAGGAGACTGCTGGCTGTGGCAATAACTCTAAGCTTTTGTCAGTTCTTGATGCAAAGTTGCTTCCCGAGAAATGAGCACTAGCTGAGATCCCTCACAGAGCCCAACTGCGGTGTTCTCCTGCCCCATCTTTTATTAATTTGGTGTCCATTGTACTCACACAAGGCTGGTGTCAATGGTGTAAGAGGAATTACAGGTTACAAGGAATCGGGTGAAACCCAAGATAAGCACACTTCCTCCATGGGTCCCACAGAGGGAAATTAAATGACTTGTTCAAGGTCACAGAAGATATCAGTGGCAGGGCAGGGAACAAACAAGTAACCCTCTACAAAACTGGTTTGTCTTCCAATGGGAAAACAACATGGCAAGGTTCTGAAATCTGATAGCACGCCCCTAAAGGGCAGTCACATACAAGTTAATGAGAAATCTTTTTAACTTATTTGATATATGGTAAAATGAAGCATTAGAAAAGGGGTCATCAATTGGCACAGACGTTTGTGCTGTTGTCAGGAATCACTTTGTTGTGCATTACATTGGAGCCTACCTGCTATCTCTGCTGCTATTGTCTGATATGGACACTGCTCTCCCAGACTGGAAAGGTAGCTTTTACCAATTACTATTTTTTGTTATAATGTGATTGCTACGTATACCACAGCTGAGGCCAGATGAACCAAACAGACATTCTGTAAGGACAAGGACACGCGCACACACTGAAAATGGCCTGTTCCCTTTTGCAGGAGACTGATTCTATAAAGCACAGAAATGAAGGATGTAGTTCCTGTTTGAGACTTTTGTCCCGTCCCCCCGTCCCCCCCGTGATGAGAGGATTCCTTGTAACAACATGAGAACTGCCATTTCCTGGGTCAGACGATAGGTCCATCTTGCCCAGTATCCTTTATCACACAGGGCAGAGTGTGGAGACTGAAAGGAAGAGTGAACAGGGCATGACCAGGGTGTTTCCCCTGTTCCTTTCCCACTTGCAGCCTCCGGCATTTAAGGTCTAGGAAGTTCTGATTCCCTGTGTGTTCACACTTATCTTTGGGGTGGGTTGTTTGCCTCCAGTCATTATGCTCCTGGTGAGCTAAGACAAAAGTTGAAGGAATCTTGGCACAGGGCTAGACCAGTGGTTCTCAACCTTTTTAGACCTAAGGCACCCCACAGAAAATGCCAGCTCTGAGTATTTGCTTGGTTTTTTAGACTCCAGAAAAGTAATATAGCAGTTTTTTTGGTGCAAAGAACTCCAAAAGACCACACCAGGGCAGAATGGTTTTAACCCTATAGATTTCTGTTTGGAATCTTTATGAATAGCTTGCAAATCATGTTTCCCCCCCTGGCAAGCGCTAACATTGAGTGGCACCTTGTAGTACCCTTGAAAGGATCTCAAGGCACTCCAGGGTGCTGTGGAGCCCAGCTGAGAATGCCTGGCCTAGACAGTGGCTGGCATGCTACAGCTTTGGGTAGGTGACATGAGATTTTCTCACAAATTCCTGGCCCCTTAGAATCATAGAAAATGAGGGTCGGAAGGGACTTCAGGAGGTCACCTAGTCCAACTCCCTGCTCAGAGCAGGACCACCCCCAATTAGTTCGTCCCAGCCAAGGCTTTGTCTAGCCAGGTCTTTAAAATCTCCAAGGATGGAGATTCCACCACTTTTCTGGGCAGCCGGTTCCAGTGCTTCACTACCCTCTCTGTGAGAAAGACTTTCCGCACATCTAAGCTAAACTTCCCTTGCTGCAGCTTGAGATAATTGCTCCTTGTTCTGTCATCTGCCACCACTGAGAACAGTCTATCTCCATCCTCTTTCCAACCCCGCCTTCAGGTAGCTACTATTAAATCCCCGCCTCCGTCTTCTCTTCTCCTGACTAAATAAGCCCAGTTCCCTCAGCTTTTCCTTATAAATCATGTCCTCCAGCCCCTCACCATTTTCATTGCCCTCCACTGAATTCTCTCTAACTTGTCCACATCCTTTCTGTAGTGGGGGGTCCAAAACTGGATGCGGGACTCCAGATGTGACCTCACCAGTGCTGAATAGAGAGGAAGACTCACTGTCCTAGATCTGCTGGCAACACTTCTACTCATGTAGCCCAGTGTGCCCTGCCTTGCCCCAGAGCTCCCCCACCTCCATGCTTCTGCTTCCCTTTCTCCCCTCTTTGTGTTTCCTCTTCTCTAAATTCCGCCCCCTCGCTGCAGAAGGGCCCTGACCTGAGGGCTGACCCGGGGCGCTGGCTTCCCGCGCTGCTACTGGGCAGGCTCCGCTGATGGGCGCAGAAGCAGACGGTAGCCCGAGCCTACAGCAGCCCTGGGGCCGGCGGAACGCGGCAGGCAGGGGATGGAATGCTAGTTCTGTCCCGCCCTCTCGAGCAGCCAATCCGCGCCGCCACAGAATGTTGCTGTCTCCAGTGTTCCATGGATGGAACCCGGAGCCGGAACCCCCGGGCAGGGCGGCGACCGCTCGCGCTCTGCCTGCCCGCGCGGGGGGCACGTGCTGAGGGCTCTCCACACAGGCAAGGCAGGGGATGAAGGACCGGCTGCGGCTGCGGCTGCCCTGCCAGGTGCCGCCTACGCTTGGGAAACAGGGGGACCGGAAGGGCAGGAGGAAGCACGCGAGGGTTTCCTGAGATGAGAGATTACTTCCGTCCATCCATCCTTCCAGCCACCCGCTTCTCTGTCTGCAGGGGGTGGGTTGGGGGAGGCTGAGGAAACAGCACAGGGGCTGTGGGCAGCTGCGTCTACCCGGGACTGTGGGGAGAGGGGGCAGGGGTGTTTCTTGACTTGTCCCAACCCAGACACAGCAAATCATTCGGCCTCAGGCCAGCTACTTAAACCCCCACCCCTTCCCAAAGCCATGGTGGCCAAACAGCGGATCCGGATGGCAAACGAAAAGCACAGCAAAAACATCACACAGAGAGGGAACGTAGCCAAAACCCTGGTAAGGTGACCGAGAGGACGGGAAGAGGGATAGGAGTTGGGAGGAGGGGAGGAGGAGGATGATGTCCTAACAAGTCCTCAGCCCAGCATGCTGGGTAAGGTGGGGATTGGGAGCTGAAGGGTTAAGAGGCAGCTGGAGCCCCAGGCTGGGGAGCAGAGAGGATGATCTTCTTATAATTTGTTTTTAATTCATTTGCTGCTCCCAGAGGGAGCTCTCCAGGCTGAGCCAGAGGGTGTGGAAGAGCCTGATGCTAAAATCAGGAGCCCCTTTTCTGAACTGATGAATGGAGGCATTTTCACACTGCAGTGAATGAAAGTGCCGGGGTCTTGTGAAAAACACACAGCACAATCCTCCGCTGGGAGGGAGAGACCCACACAGTCTACCTGAATACCCAGGTGGGGAGAGACTGAGAGACTTGCATGCAGAAAGCAACGGTCCCTGCATGCAGGCACTGCCACACATACACACCTTCCCCTCAGCCACTTGAGAAAGCCACACACATAACCCACCCCACATGCCCAGTGGGGAACAACACACAGCAAAATCCAGTAGGGCTACAGGCAGCCACTTCTAGCTGCTGAAAGTGTACACGCATGAAAATCAAGTCCTAGCTCTCTTGCTACCTGGTGAGGGGTTATTTTGTTCAGTTTTCCTGGGCCACCTGGCTTGCAGGAAATTAAAACACTGAGATTTATTCAACTTTGCTTAAAAGAAAGCAGCACGCTTTCCTGGGTAAAATGCTTTCAGAGGAAGTATAAGGCCTCTGTGACTGAGACAAGAGAGCGCTATTTGACTTGCATGGGACATTCAGGTACTTCGGGTACTGTCATGACAAGGAAAACAGGTTGATCTTAGTTCAGTAAGTTCACTAAGACCAATCTAAGCTTAATCATGTTTCCTTGGCAAGACATGTTTCCTTGGCAATACAGGCACTCCTCGACTTACAACATTTCGAGTTACGTTTCACACTTACAACATTTATAAATTGACACCCTGTTTCAACTTTATGACGTCGGTTTCAATTTTACAATGCTTGATCCGAATTGATGCCACGCCAGCAAACAAGTTCACTGCATCGCTCATCTCCCTGGAGAACATCTGTCCAAACTTCCTTGGACACTTTCTTTAAGAAAGCAGACAAGACTCCAGAAGAACCTGCAGCCAAGACTCCTGAGAAGACTCCAGCCAAGAACCCTTCAAAAAGCCCAGCAAAGTCACCTCAAAAAAGTCCTTCCAAATCAATATGCTTGCTATTTACAATATAAATACATTAATGTAGCTATATTACTCATCTATAATTGATTGAGTACAAAATTCTGGGGTATTTTTGGTGAAAAAAGGAACCAATGCCCCATTTATAACATCGTTTCTTATGAGAAAATTGGTTCTGAGTTACAATATTTCGACTTAAGACAAGGTTTTCAGGAACCAATTCTGTCGTAAGTCCAAGGACTGCCTGTATACAAAAGAGGCAACTGGGTATGGTCCCTTTCATCACTTAGGGCTCCCTTCTGCTCCCATGTACAGTGGAAATTGAGCCTTGGAATACAGTTGACTTCAGTAGCTCTGCTGGCACAAAAGGCTAGTGAGGCAATAACCTTCCAGCCACAGAAATCCTGTTTATGCCTTTGGAAAAAAACATGAGGAGGGCTATAGTCACATTTAATTCCACCCATGAGAGTGAATTTCATGGAATATAGTTTGGTAATATCATCTCCCTGTTCCTTCAGAGCTTTTTGCCCCATATTCACTGGAGGTAAACTGTTTCAAAGGGAACCCTGTTGTACAGTGGCAGAAAAGTGCTTGAAATTCAGTGCTGTGTCCTTCATGTTGTCAGGAAGCTCTTGGAACTAAATCAGCCTCCTACAACACCCCCATCCTACAATTCTGACCGACTATGTCAGAGTGGGACTTTTGTTCAACAAGATTTGGCAATAGTTTAATTATAACACAACTGAAACACGCTCACACTTCTTAAAGGTGACCTGAAATGCTCTTTTGAAAAGTGAAAGCATAAAACTGTTGGTGTTTACCATAAAATACTGCAGGCTCATTTGAAAAATGTGCTTCTGTGAAACAATGTCCTGCCAATGACACACAGTACAGTACAGCTTATTTTTTCCCTTTATCCCCAAGTCAAGTGAATCTACGTTTTTCTATTGTTCCTGCCACTTGTTGATGTCTGAAGTAGTTGGCTGAAGTATCTGAGACTAACAGATGTTTTCCTCTAATGTCAAAAGGCATTTTTTGTGATTTCAATGCTTCTCTTGTTTCTAATAACGCTGAGGCACTTAGGTTTGATTCCACACTGTGTCATGTCTATGAAATGTCAGTGCAAAAATCCCCATGAATTGAGTGGTGAAGGATTAAGTCCTTAGAAAGCACATTTCATTCAGAGATCTTTAAAACACAGGAGCTTGTTTAGCACCATTTATGGGGATGGGGAAACAGTGGTACAAAGAGGTTACGGACATGTCTGTACTGTAACTATGGTAGGCAGGGCTGGAACAAAAGTATACCTTCTCTTCTCTCCTCCCACTTACTTATTCCTGTTCTCTGTGTTACTAAATACTGAAATAATGTCATATAGCTGCTGTTCGGTACATGCCCAAGGTAATTCTCCAGCATGGGCATGATTGGGACATCCCTAGCACCATTCTAAAGGAGGGTACTTTACATTTTTTCCAGTCTTGGGAAGATTTGGAGGGGCATGTTTTTATGGCAGTGCTCTGTAGTATGGTAGGAGATGGCATAGGCATGTCCTGACATACTCAAGTTAACAAGGTAGGTCCGTGGAAGACCTAGGACCAGATGCCAAGTCTCTTGAATCATATCAGGTGCCCATTCTTTGCACTAGATGATGACAAAACAGCATTTCTCTCCTCTGTCCTCCCTTTGCTTCTTTTGCTTCTGTCCTTTTCACTAAAACTTACTCTTCTCTCCCTTTTTTCCCTTCTTCCTCCCATGTGGGCTGTACACCGTTCAGCCATGTTTTTGCCATTCTCCCCTCCCCTCCAGCTGACCACTTCAGGCCCATGGGAGCTGTCCTAGCAAGAACTTCTAGATATTAGCTAGGTGTTAGCTGCTGTTCTGAGGTGCTCAAAATAAAGCAGTTTTAGATTAGCGTTGCAGAACTATTAATATTGGTATTTGCTTAGGGGCCTAAACCAAGATCAGGGTCACACTGTGAGAGGCTTGTCTAAACACATAGTAACATATACTGCTTGTGCCAAAATGCTTGTAATCTCATCTAGACAAAACAGACAAGACAGGTGGTAGAAATCAGGAATTATTATCCTCCATTTTGGAGAACTGAGACACAGTGATGTGTAGTCACTCTCTCAAGGTGATACAGGACATCTGCAACAGAGCTTGGAACTGAAAACTGTCTCCTGAGCCCTGCCAAGGGTCTTAACCACAACACCCTCCTTCCTCTATCTGTATTTCTACAACTTGAACAAACAATTCCTCTTTTACTTTCCTTATCTTAGAGCTCTGTGAATCCCCTGCTACCATTGATTGTATGCCTAATATCTCAGGGCCCCATAAAGGCCTCTGCTCAGATCTTGGTTGGTGAAAAGCCTCTCTACATTTGCCGTTTTTGTGAGCTATATGAACTGACCGTTTTATCTCCTGTAATTGTAGGCTGTCTTGAGAGCATGATCATGATAGGTCATTATTAGCTCCACTGGCAAACTTGATCTTCTTGTGCACTCTTTTATTCATACAAAATTGTGATCTAATGCTGGGATCTTTGGACTATTACACTTGCTTATTCCTTGCCTGTTCTTGGTTTTTTCCTTTTCACAACTACAGATGTTTAATATAAGATGAAATAACTGAGGAAATAAAATACGTATTCAGCTATTCTTTGGCTAGTTTGGAAAAGTGTTATTTAATGGCATTTTATACATTTAATTCTGCCAGTGTGCATGGCTAAACCCAACACATTAAACAAGTCAAAGTCATAATTATTAATTTGATGTTTAAACTACTCTTCATCAGGTAGAAAAGCTACAGAAGGTGTCTGCTAATAGATGTACATTTTCAGAAATTTGCAAGGACGTTTTTCATTCTGTGTCATCTTTGAAATCCTACAGAGAACATGTTTGCATTCATTCTTCATTACAAAAACCTCTGGTGTATTAGGCTCCCAACAATAATCATGTATCAAAACAAAACTCAATAGTTCAAAGTGACCATAAAACATGATATTCTTTCTTCCTTTCCCCTTCAAAGCTACATATTAGAACGCTCAGTTGTGCTGCCTCAAAATAAATTATCTAGAGTAGAAACTAGTTGAAACTAAATTTATTTTTAGCTTAAAGATATTTTTTGGCACATACTGACAAACAATTATAGTACACTTTAATTTGATTTTAACAACTTCCTCTCTCCAGCGGACAGAAGTTGGATCTATGAGTGTGTACATGTGTGTGTTCTTCAGCCAACAGCACCGTCAGGGAACATTATTATTACTTTAAAAATCCAACACCTAGTATCTCACAAAATACATAAGGCCATGTTCTTTATCCTGAAGAGCTTACAATGTAGATAAAACAAGGGAGGGTTGTAAACAGCTTAACAGAGGAAGGAAATAGATAAGCAAATAGTGAGGGGAAAAAAACCCACCTCACTTTCCCTCTTCCCTTGAGAAACTCAGGATGACAGATCTGAAAAGAATCTGTGAGAGGCATTAATTAAGTCCTCTTTAAAGGGGAAAAAACAGATTTGAGCATTACTGAATCCCTTAAGCTTTCTGACCTCAGAGCAGACTCTCCTGTAAATACAACTGTCACTCTTCTGTTACTGTATTGTTTTTCATTTCAACTTCTCATCATTTGTGTGAAGCAGTTATGGCAACAGAATACCTTGTTTTATGTTCAAATGTTTGAGTTTGCTCACTTTGAGGTTTGAAGTCAAAACCACATTATTCTTTATCTTGCCTTTCTGCTTCTGTTTTTTAAACGAGCTAACGAGCAAAAGGTCAGATTGCTAACAGACTGAAATCTTCTTTCCCCCTCCCATTTTAGCGGCCACAAGAAGAGAAATATCCTGTAGGACCATGGCTGCTGGCTCTGTTTGTTTTTGTTGTCTGTGGATCAGGTAGGAATAAACTATTGAGAATAGATCAAGAAGCGGGAGTGGGAAGGGGTGGAACTGAAAGGAGAACAGAATTTAAAAGTTTGCAGGCATTTGCCACTGGAAATATGCACGCAGGTTTTAGCAGCTAATTGGAACCTCTGCCTGTATTCAAAGATAGAGTACAAAACTTGGCCTACAATGAGGCTCTGAGTCTGTTCCAGTGAAACGTGTACGGTGTGTAAGAAGAACATCTGGAGAGTGCAAGTGGCTTAACTTGTTCCTTTTTTTTCCTGCAAGTCTTTATTGTTAAGTCTAGCAAATGAATCCTAACCAGAAAGATCTCTCACTTCAGTCTAGAAGAGGAGTTTTATTTGTACTGGGGGCCTGGATGTTTCAGGGCCTGTTCAGTTATCAGTATTTTTTCACCTTTGAGTTGTGGGTTTCAATCTCACCTGAGATGGTAATAGCAAATGGTGTTTACCATCTGAAATGTATCCAGTGGCCCATGAAATGAGTTTTTTGTATCATCCCAGGTTTTGGTGGATAGGTATCCCAAACACAATGCCTACCATTCCAGTTTTGGCTCAGTTAAGCTTGTGGGTAGATTCAGAAAAGTGTCTGCTGCTGGGAGAGACTGCCCCAGTTTCAAAGTTGTCTCTCCAGATGGGGTGGGAAGCTAACGGGTAGAATAACAAGGGAAAGAAAGCATGTTCTTCGACCACCTATACTGTACAAGACCACTTTTGGTTTTCTTTTCCAAAATCATGTCTGGGATTTTTATGGGCACTAAGGTATGCTTAAAGTAATCTCTTTAAAAGTGCCACAACATGGTATTCATCATGTTTAGATCTCACATCACCCTCTTTTATATTATCTTTTATATTAGGATTAGCTCATTGGTTTTGACTTGCCTACAGAGCTCTCTATGGGTGTTGAACTGTTTCATGAATACAGGACTGGTAGATTTATGTCCAATCCTAACAAATGCCATTTTTGAGAACTTTATGTTCTCTTATTTTTTTGGTAATTGTCACGTATAGAATTTCATGCCCCGCAAAAGAAACCAGCAATGATGGCAAATACAGCCCGTTCCAATTTTTTAAAAAAAGGGTTCTCTGAACAGTGCTGGTTTTGAGCCTGCATTCCTTTTACATTTAACTCCTCTCCCCACTGAACTCAAGAGTTTCAGGTACACACAAAATATGCAGGTTTCCCCTGAGATTACCTACTGCTAAAGCTAACAAACATACAGACACTGCAATATTAGACTACTCACTGTTAGATCTCAGGCTTTCAGCTAGCCTGCAGGTCCCTTCTTTGTCCATATCTTTGGCTTCTTGTGAGCTTTATTATCTTATGTGGACAATAAAAAGAAATGAAACCACTTCTTAGGTACATTCAATGTATTGTCAGTATCTCAAGAAATAATAACTGCTTCTCTTGACAAGATATCAAGCTGTTTAAAACATCCTTAGCCAGAAAAAAACAAACAGCAACACTATGTGCTGCTGTCCGATGTATTTATTTCTGTTGTGGAGGTGCCTGAGGATCCTGATTGAGGCCCCACTGTGATAGGCAATGTACAACAAACAGCACAAAGGCAAAACCTCAGTCCTGGTTCCCAGAAAACACAGGAAAAGTGACAAATCCATAGGCAATTGGAAAAAAAAACCCTCACTGTTGAGAATAAATCAATAAAGAAAATGCTGGTTTTATTTGCATCTGAGAGTACATTTGCTTTCAAGTAAGACCACTGCATAAGATTGAGTTCAATCCTGCTTTCTTTAATTATGCTACACCATTGCTGACTTACATGGGGAGTTTACCTGTGCCAGAACCAAAGAATCAGTCTCATTATCTTAAGAGTCATCTTAACAATGCGGCTTTGATAGCTATCTTTGTAGTTCTAGAGCTCTGTTTCAGAGATTCATACTTTATCTTCAATGTTTGCAATGACTGCATTTTTAATAGGGAGTTCATTATACAAAGGCCTCCTATTTCCACAGACCATTTTAGAGTAGTTCTTCTAAGCTACTGTCATCACATATAGATGTAACCTGTGGCCCTTTTTATCACTGCTATTTGTATTGCAATACTGCCTTGAGGAACCCTGCACTTATTGCAGTAGGTCAAGATCGAAATTCCACCCAAGCCTAGTGGCCTGTTGATTGGCATATTAAAACCACTGCGATTTTTGCATCAACAGCATATTAGGGAATGATGTAGGTAGCATATCTACATCTGCCTTTGACTCCTGAACCTGAATGACCATCGTTTGGCCCTTTCTGTTAGTTAGAAAGCCCCCTCCTGACCTACCAGGATGCACTGAAGAGATTGAGAGCTTGCAAGATTTTTCATCAGTTATTTTTAAGAACACAGATGCATGGCAGAGCTGTGTGTACTTGTCACACACTGTCTCACAAACATTTTGTTGGTGTCTGTGTGCGCCATCCGAGGCAGCAAACACAGCAATTAAGTAATCTCCCCAAATCCTGATAAAAGCTAAGAATCAATGGCTATTTATTCCAGTAACCAATTATCTTAAGAAAATAAAGCTTTGCAGTTCTGTTGGAGAACTGACTTACCAGTTGACATTTCTTGTTTGTACCAATTATTCTCCCCACTCTGTTAGACACCTCAGAGCACCTGATGAAGCAGGTTATTGCCTACGAAAGCTCATGCCTCTGAACCAGTTCATCTCTAAGGTGCTTGACTTCAGACTAACACGGCTAAACTCTGTCCCACTGTGTGACTGTGCTTACAGATTTGTGCCTTACACTCTGCAACAAATTTTCCTCGCTCTATAACATAATGCAAAATCATTTGCTGCCCATTTTTTCTTCTTTATATATTCCTTTACCATTACCCTCAGATTGACTCAACTCCCCCTTGGTTCTTGTTTCCTGTACCATTTCCTTCAGGTTCAGGTCTCACTGGATCCAGCTCTCTTGGCTTAGGTGGGTTTTTAAATGTCTTCCCTCTGCCCTGTCCAGCTTATATTTTGACCCATGTTTCACTACTTGAGAATGAATGGGCTTCTGTCTTTTAAAACTGGGTATTTAATCCAGCAAAATGCAGAAGCCTCTCAACTTCTTTGGAAGCCATATTCACATAAATGTCACACAATCATGTGTCACTCCCTTAGAGCAATGGCTTCATCTTGGGCAACTCTCTCTGTAGCAGAGGATACCAGGACTGTTTTAACATCTTAGCTTTGCCATCCTTATACTTCTCATACTTGAGCTGCTGCTGCTGCTGCTATTACTACCAATAGCACCTGCTCTTTTTGTTCATGATCCTTTGAAACTATTATCTTCATTTCTGGGCTCTAGTGTCCCTGTCAATGCCTGGTTTTCTTATCTCCTCCCCTAGTTTGCTCGCCTTGTTACTCACTAGTCCTGTTATTCTCTCAGCTCTGCTCGCCCACCATTATTAAGTTATTAACTTGTCATGGTCTAGACTCCCCACTTCCTCTCTCGCTTTGAATGTCCTCAGCAGCTCCCTCCTGTCTTCCTGTTCTTTGCTGCACTGTGGAGTCAGAAATTCCTAAACTGATTACCATTTTGTTTATGGGCAGAGCTGTATTCTCTGTGCAGTTTGATTGTTAGGGAATCTGCTGTAAAATCAGTCAGTTTCCAATGTACAGCATGTCAGGCAAACCAAAGCTGTGAGGGCAATAGGAGCAGAATGACAGTGCAAAAGACTTTGCAAAGTAAATCACATTTGTTTAAGCAAGAAATACAGCTTTAGAGAAGTGAAGGATAAAAAGCCCTTACAGTAACACAGGCAAAAATATAAAACAAATCAGCCCAAATAAAATCAATACATGAAATAAAAGCCAGAAAAAATAAAATCCAACAACCCTGTCCCAAGGAGAATGTCACTAAGGCTATTGATATTTGTACAGAAGACTAGGGCTGTGTGAAGTTTCAGGTGCTGATTCGATTTGGAGGAGATTTGGCCTGATTCAGTGGCCGAATCTCCAAATCGGAATTAAAGCAGGAAACCAATAAAAAGGTCTGAATCAATTCGAAGCTCTCTAAATCGATTCGGAAAAGAGTTGGAGAGCTTTGGAGATTCAGGCATTCCCTGCTTGCTGCTGCAGGGAGCTGGACCTGGACTCCGTACTGGGAAGTAGGGGATTGGGGGGGGAAGACTGGAGGAGGGGGGAAGGGGGCCATGGGGGGACCCCACCA